CTTCATGGGGGCGACCAAGATCGGTTTTCCGACGGCGAGATCCGTCCGCAACTAAGGCATTCAAAGGCCGGCACCGTGGCCATGGCAGGTGCCCCGCGGTTCTACTTCACCTTGCGGGACGGCGTGGACCATCTCGATGATAAACACACCGTGTTTGGGATGGTTCCTGAGGGTGAATGTCTCGACACACTGACAAAGATAAATCAATCATACATTGATGATAAAGGAAGGCCATTCATGGACATAAGGATTAAACATACATATGTCTTGGATGATCCTTTCGACGATCCTCCTCAGCTGGCAGAACACATCCCTGGGAACTCTCCCATAGGAAAGCCACATGCCGAGATTGCAGAAGATCGCTTAGACGTTCCTTCGGATGATGCACTTGCTAGTGTCGTGATTGTTAGTTGTGATCACTGCGGCGGACACATTCCAGGCATTGAACCACCAGACAATGTCGTGTGTGTTTGTAACCTTAACCCAATTACACAAGATGAGGATCTAGATACAATCTTTTCTCGTTTTGGAACCATGACATCGGCTGAAATAATTCGTGACTGCAAGACTGGAGATAGCTTATGCTATGCTTTCATTGAATTCGAGGCAAAGGAGGACTGTGAGCATGCATATTTTAAGATAGGACATAGCTGGGAAAGTCATGCATGCAATACTGTAGCCAAATCAACAAATTTTTCTCCAGATGTCGGTCGTATGTCAACCTCGGAAAGTACCAAGAATGGTGCAAATCATCCACCAACGATTGCATAAACACACTCAAATTCTTCCCCGGATATTCAGGCCCCGGAACTATAAGCGACAGGAACATGGTCTTGCGTTGCATTATGGCGCCCGGAGGGAGATTGAGCGGAATAACAAACACGGGCCATCAGCTGTATGGATTAGACGACATACCATATGGATTGAACCCATCACCTGATATAGCAATTCTGACATTCCCAGCCTCGGCTGCTTCCTCGGGGTATTCTGTATCGAATGACTTCCGTGCTTCACCTTCTGATGGATGTACGATTTTATTTGGATTGTACATTTTCCCTTCCTTGTGCCACTTCATCATTTTTGCAGACTCCTCGGTGATGAAAAGTCGCTGCAGTCTTTCTATGAAATGAAGATACCGAAGAACCTTCGCAGGGATTTTTCGCTGCTTCTTCTGACCCTGCTCATCGACCACCTCAATATATCGAGAGGAACCGCACTTCCTACAGTAGTTGTCATTCGCATACTCATGCCTAAAGAAAAGGCAATTCTTTGGACAAACATGTATTTTCTCATAATCCATGGAGAGCGCCTTCATGATTTTCTTCGTAGAGTACATGCTTTTCGGCAGTTAATGGCCCTCAGGGAGGTTGTTAGCCCATACTCCCAGAAATGCTTCGAAGCAACCTCGGCTATAGTCGTACTCGGCCTTGACTGCCATCAGTTGCGAGATGGCACCATTCTCATACGGAAAACCCCACTATACATCCACTAATTATCTGCCATCTCTGCTTTATTGGAAGCCACACAACAAAATTAAGGATTCATTTAAATTACTCACATCAATGTTTTATTTTTTATAGGGTTGACGAGAAACGATATTTAATCCACCTACATCTCTAATAGGGAAAGATGGATCCTAATCCCACCCGAAATGTGTAGATTGAGTACGTTGTCCATGCTCTACCCCATTCCAAGACAAAATTTCGGCAACACCTCCCCGCTATTCTCCAAATACATGTATCGGCAAAATGCCGAGAGAATGTGCATCCGGAGAACAACAGGGAGGCGCCGCCGAAATCCTGTCTCGGAACGGGGTAGAGAATGGACAACGTTCACAATCTACAAATCCTCGGGCTGTCCGTGGAAAACGTTGGACAATCTGAAAGAGCTGCGGTGATAAATATGCAATTGAATGCATATTTATCGATGCAACTCTTTCGGACGGGAGACACCTAGGTTACGTGACTTGATGTGAAATTTTAATCTAGTGACATGGAAAAAAAGCGGACGAGGTGATGGAATTGTTGCTCACACTCGAATATAGAGGATGTAGTCGATCAGAGGAGGGACGATCGTGGACCAACACCTCCAACATCGATGATCACTCCACGAAGATGGAACACCACAAATCCTGTTAATTCCACCAAGTGAAAAAAAATAGGTCAACACCTCACATTAAGCATTGGCACAACATTATGAATCAACATGAAACAACATGTCAAATTGCAAAAAAGCTTTATTAACTATTTTAGAAACTAAGAGTCTCAAATTGCTTCTTATGAATCAACATGAACTAACACTAACTTGACCAAACACTAACTTGACCAGCATCCATCCATCTACCACAAACTTGACCAACGTCTATTCATCTATATTTTAGAAACTAAGTGTCCAAAACATTTGTTAACTTGACTAACATCCATTCACAAACTTAGTAAAAACTATCTAGTACTCCCTCCGTCCGGAAATACTTGTCATCAACACACATTGCTATAATTCCATCTATCTATCCCCTTGTAGCAGCAGCACACACGCAGTGGCGGCGGCAAGCAGCGTGAGTACGCAGCTAGCGGCGGCGACCATGAGCACGAGCAGCGGCAACAAGGGACCGTGGGAGGCTGGGGGGCGATGGAGTTGGAGGCCGGTTGCGAAGGGGCCGGCAACGAACGCGTCCGGCGGTGGAGGGACGGGAGGGCCGGGGCGGAGAACATGGCCGGCCGGAGAAGAAGCGGCCGGACGGAGCTAGTCGTACACCGGAAGCGGCCTCACTTCAGGGAAGGAGAATTCTAGTCTCAAACTTTTTGGTGGCCGGGGATCGCGGCATCACCAGCATTGGCTTTGCCCCCGGTACAGCTCCTGCGCTCTAGAGGATCGTCTGGTCTTTTCCCACCACAGCTAGCCTCTCTGGAGGCTATCACCTCGTGAAACTGAAGGAGGTTGAGCTGTGACCCGGGCCCGGTGAAACACTATCTGAGTGCAACGATAACCATCCAATATTTTTTAGACACAACCAATGCCTTCAGGGTCAAGAACCTGGAACTGCAGGTGCGGCAGCTTCATGAGCGCCGTCAGTACAAGAATCCACAGCAAGTGCCCTGGAATGGATGCCGCAAACCTGAAGGAGGGCCAGCTTATCACAATCTCCCTCAATTTGATGACCATATAATTGGATTTGTATAGTAGTACATGCAATGTATGGGTGTGTAACTGATCCTTTGTGCCCCCTTACATGTGTCTGTGAGTATTAATTCCCCTGTATTGCCATTCCGGCCCTCCTAATCAGTTTGTTGTCCTGCAATCCTTTTCGCTGTACTTCATATATTGACAGCCAACACAAGCAAAATCAGCATTCCCATGCTTCAGGTGGTCTTATTCTGAAGGCTGGCTGAACTGTGTGAAGCAGAGCCCCATTCTAACACGCCAATCCAAAGGCCTTCATAACTTGACATCATTAAGGACTGAGGAGGCTAAAGCAATAGAGCATACCCAAGGAAGGAAGCATGATTCACACACAGGATTAGCACAGTAATTTGACAGTGAGTGAGGGCTTGCATGTGTCAGCAAACCCATGAAGAAGATACTTTGGTAAGAAACAATGCATGCAGATGTTATGTTTTGTAATGCATAAACTGGCATCATTATCCAACCATACATGCACGCAGGAACACCTGTGATCATATAATGCATTTGCGAAATGTGTCCCAGATCAATCTCACACCACACCAGCTGATAACTCCGGTTTACACACGACTGAAAAAATGACAATAACTACTTACTGGACGCTAATTAATCAGACAATCGCTTGATGGAAACAAATAAGGGGCTTCATGCACTGATGCACCCGAGGTAAATTCACTTCTTTCCTTGAGTAAAACCAGACTACTGACTGTACTCTATTTAATCAGACAAGAAAGCAGGTAGGAGCAGTACAATACAAGTCAGCTATGCTACCAGAATAATACAAGTCAGTAAAACCAGACTACTGACTGGACTCTAATTAATCAGACAATAAGACCAATGCAGATTACTCAACACAGAAATGCTTCCACACAACATATCTTAAAAGTATCTTACATACAATACGTGATAGTTGGACACTTCTATTATCCAGGAGAAAGTGGAGTGCAACATGTACTGCCAATATGAGCAGCAGTAGAGGGCACACAGTAATACCCATTCTGAAGGTTGTGTTATTGCTTCACGTGGCCTTATTCTGAAGGCAAGCAGAACTGATTGAAGTAATACTGACCTAGCCAATCCAAAGGCTTGCACTGACACAGCCCTGCATAACTTACCTTCACTAAGGAGGCTGAAGCAAATAAAAAGGCATAGCCAAAGGAAGGAAAGGATGTCAGAAAACCTGTGGAGATACTTTGTTAAGAAACAATGCGTCCAGATGTGATTTTTGTAATGCATAAACTGGCATGCATGCAGGAACATCTGTGACCAGTAATGTGACTGATCTCATGTCACGCGCATCTGATATATGGCTCCAGTTTACAGATAACTAAGGAAGAAAAATTGTATTGCATGATGAAAACAAATAAGCAAGTGTGTCATGCACCTGAAGAAGATTCACTTGCTTCTTCAAGTAAAACCAGATTATCTGTCTAATCAGACTGCATAAACTGAAAAAGAAAAATGCTACTGCCTAAACAGTTTCTTCAAGCAAATGTGTCATGCCAGCAGGTAGAAGTCTCATGCTATGCTACCATAATAATACAAGTCAGCAACCACAAGCATAGTAATTAATCAGAGAACAGACCATAGCAGATTAATCAACACAGAAATGCTTTCAAACAGCATATTAAAAGTCACAGTCAATACACAACCAAACAAATAGTTGCCTGGTGCATCAGTCATAGTTGGACAGGTTATATATATAGCTAATCCAATGCAGATGTATAGCATAAGGCATAGTTGGACAACTTACATATATAACTAAACACGATGCAGAAATACTACTACAGGAACTTCAACAAGCTAATACCAAGCAGTTCTTAAAAGATTCGTTCCGTGTCAGGCTCTCCATTCAGCCCCACTTGTGTGAACGCAACCTCTGGTTCGTCCCTTTGAAAATCCCTGTCAACACCCGCAAGCATCTCCACGTCCAAAGCAAGACGGGACCAAGCAACAGAGATCTCCACCTCGGCACCGAGGAGGCAACACCGACCACGATCTATGTTGCATTCTTGGGCTTCGAAGCAGACCTGCGTTTTTGCAGGGAGAACGCCAGGTGGTGCATAGGCCTGTATTTCAACTTCCAGCTGTCCGCTTGGTTCTACAGAAACAACTTGCCTTGACAGATAAAGGTATCCATCTGAACGCGCAGGTCTACTTCCATCTTTTGAATCAAGCAGCAAGATTTCCCCAGACGAAGGCTGAGCAACATACTTGATTTCACCATCACTGTCCTCCATAAGTTCCCGTGATGCCGGGGAGCAAGCAACCCGAACACCATGTCCAAAAGGCCACGCCCCATTGTCTTTGACGACACGTACGCCAATGATGGTGGCCTGGACCGAACCTAGAAATCGCTCCAAGCGTAACTCCATCGTGCAGAAGCAGTTCTGAAAGCAGATGGTGGATACACCAATACGGCATCGGGTTTGGCGGTATGTATCTGTGATCAACGGCCTGTCCCGAGACTTGACGCTGCCTTTCACCATAAGCTGGACCTCATAACTGACATAGTCCTCAAACAAAACAGCGCGAGACGGGGCGATCAGGCGCAGATAAGGATCCTGCATGCACAAGCATCATCATATCAGCCACCGCATTAATTAATAATCAACAAGGTAGGACGCGGGCATACAGGCAAGAAGATACACAAAAGAAAATGGAGAGCAAATTAATACACCAGCAACCGTACATTTTGAGTAAGTTCTTGGGAGTTGCTCCTATCGCAAAAGAAGATAAGGTTGCGGTTGTAGTCCACGCCATCACGGGCAGCGACCACACCATACACGGACAATGGAAATTTGAAGCCACCTTTCACCTCTGTAAGCTTGACAGAGAAGATCTGCACGGCAGGTTCTATGCCAGCGCCCCATGGGATGCGCCCAGGTGCCAAGTGTGTAAACTGCATGGAACTCACTGTCGCTGCACCCAAGTAAATCAGATGTCAGAAATCTAACATGAACCGAGTAAATCCCCTATTCCCTTGTTAAGGAAGGGCAACCGTCGAAGGTAAACTAGTTAAATTAAACAAGAGTGAGAAAACAAAGCCACATGGTTAATTACTACTCACTCTTGTTAAGGAAGTGGCCGCTGCGTCGGCTAAACGCAGCCTCCCAGTCACGACTGAAGGACTCAAACATGAGCTTCTCGGTAGACATCACCCTCTTCTCCTTGGCTAATTGTGCCTCTGATTTGCCTCTGTCTACCTCATCGTCGTCAACACAATCAGTGTCAGCTCGATCATGGCCATCACCGTTTATGGACACTTTTGCCCCCATCACTGCCTCAGCATCAATCTCCGAAATTGGTGTGGAGCCGGTGATCCTCTGGACCTCCTCCTCCTCCATGGCTGGCTTGCCACACTCCATCTTATCCTCTTCCTCGTCGTCACCAGAACCATCAGCACCATCATCATCATCTGAAATTGGATCTGCTCCTAATGTCGAACTCAGATCACTGAGACCATTCATATGCTTCCCCGAGGGGTCCGACAGATCAGAGATCGCGGGGGAGGTGTGGGCAGTTCCGGCAGTTATCCCCATCCGCTTGCGCAAGACCTTGATACGATTGTCGAGAAAACCAAGCCCCTTCTGCGTGCCCAAACTACGGTAGGAGTTGGAAGAATCGAACCTCTCCTTCTCGGGCGTGCCCTTGTCCTTCTTCTGCTTCTTCTTCTTCTTCTTCATCAGCGTATTGCGGAGGTCCGTGAAGAACTCGAGCTCATCAGCAAGGTCAGCTCGATTCCTCTTGCGACGAGGCTGATTCCGCTGCACGACCTTCTCTTCCATCTGCATCTCCAACTCACGAGGCGTCTGTACCTCCTCTTTTGCCGGGCTGCCACCCGCCATCGCTCGCCTTTTTGTGGTTCCCTCGCCTCCCGCCGCACCCCGCCGCCGCCGCCGCCGCCGCCTATCTTAGGGTTTCACGAAAGAGGGATTTTGTTTTTCTTGAGCGATTCTAGGGAAACTTTTGGACTCATCAGTTCGGCCGTGGGGTGGTTATACTTTTCGTTTCTCTCTCAGCCGACCCGGCCCGGCCCGGCCCGGACAAATAGATCGAGAAGCACCGCCCCCGCAAGGGGGTGATCCCTAGTCCGCACAAGGTTTGTTATTAGTACTCTACAGGCTCGTAATTGTCTAAAAAAAAAACTCTATAGGCTCGTAATTGTCTCAAAAAAAAACTCTATAGGCTCGTAAGGGTTTGTTTTTCCTCTTTTTATTTTTTAATCTAGAACACCTTGCATTCCAATTACGGAGGACCGACTATATAGGCGGTCACGGCACGGATTACATCGTCAGGAAAGTCCGACAGCCACACACGTAGGCTGCTCGGATCACCACTCGACCCAAGGGCCGCCAACAAATGTGCTGGCCTATTACATAACTGAGGACAGTTCGCTACTTGGTACTGAACGAAGCCTGGCCGTAGCAGAAATTTTTGTTGGGGAACGTAGCAGAAATTCAAAATTTTCTACGCATCACCAAGATCAATCTATGGAGTAATCTAGCAACGAGGGGAAGGAGAGTGCATCTACATACCCTTGTAGATCGCTAAGCAGAAGCGTTCAAGTGAACGCGGTTGATGGAGTCATACTCGCGGTGATTCAAATCGCGGAAGATCCGATATAGCGCCGAACGGACGGCGCCTCCGCGTTCAACACACGTACAGCCCGGGGATGTCTGCTCCTTCTTGATCCAGCAAGGGGAGAGGAGAAGTTGAGGGAGAACTCCGACAGCACGACGGCGTGATGGTGGTGGAGCTCGTGTTTTTCCAGCAGGGCTTCACCAAGCACTACGGAGGAGGAGGAGGTGTTGGAGGAGGGAGAGGGCTGCGCCAAGCGAAGGGTGTGCGGCTTCCCTCTCTCTCCCTCACTATATATAGGGGTAAGGGGGGTGGAGGAGGCGCCCTAGGGTTCCCTAGGGGAGGGGCGGCGGCCACAGGGGAAACCCTAGATGGGTTTGGGCGCCCCCACCCCCTAGGAAACTTGCCCCCCAAGCCGCGAAGGAGGGCTGCCCTAGGGGAGGCGCCCCCACCTCTCCTGGTTACGTGAGAGGGGCTGGGAGGGGCGCACCACCCCTTAGTGGGCTGGTTTTCCCCTTCCCCTTTGGCCCATGAGGCCCTCCAACACTTGTCGGGGCTCCCGAAACACCTTTCGGTCATGCTGGCCATAGCCTGGTACCCCCGGAACACTTCCAGACTCCAATACCCTTCGTCCAATATATCGATCTTCACCGCCAGACCATTCCGGAACTCCTCGTGACGTCCGGGATCACATCTGGGACTCCGAACAACCTTCGGTAACCACATACTGTTTCCCATAACAACTCTAGCGTCACCGAACCTTAAGTGTGTAGACCCTACGGGTTCGAGAATCATGCAGACATGACAGAGACAACTCTCTGGCCAATAACCAACAGCGGGATCTGGATACCCATGTTGGCTCCCACATGTTCCACGATGATCTCATCGGATGAACCACGATGTCGAGGATTCAATCAATCCCGTATTCAATTCCCTTTGTCTAGCGGTATCGTACTTGCCCGAGATTCGATCGTCGGTATCCCGATACCTTGTTCAATCTCATTACCGGCAAGTCTCTTTACTCGTTCCGTAACACATCATCCCGTGATCAACCCCTTGGTCACATTGTGCACATTATGATGATGTCCTACTGAGTGGGCCCAGAGATACCTCTCCGTCACACGGAGTGACAAATCCCAGTCTCGATTCGTGCCAACCCAACAGACACTTTCGGAGATACCCGTAGTGTACCTTTATAGCCACCCAGTTACGTTATGACGTTTGGTACACCCAAAGCATTCCTACGGCATCCGGGAGTTGCACAATCTCATGGTCTAAGGAAATGATACTTGACATTAGAAAAGCTTTAGCATACGAACTACACGGTCTTTGTGCTAGGCTTAGGATTGGGTCTTGTCCATCACATCATTTTCCTAATGATGTGATCCCGTTATCAACGACATCCAATGTCCATGGTCAGGAAACCGTAACCATCTATTGATCAACGAGCTAGTCTACTAGAGGCTTACTAGGGACATGGTGTTGTCTATGTATCCACATATGTATCTGAGTTTCCTATCAATAAAATTATAGCATGGATAATAAACGATTATCATGAACAAGGAAATATAATAACAATAACTAATTTATTATTGCCTCTAGGGCATATTTCCAACAGTCTCCCACTTGCACTAGAGTCAATAATCTAGTTCACATCGCCATGTGATTAACACTTACAGGGCACATCGCCATGTGACCAACATCCAAAGAGTTTACTAGTGTCACTAAACTAGTTCACATCATCATGTGATTAAGACTCAATGCGTTCTGGGGTTTGATCATGTTTTGCTTGTGAGAAAGGTTTTAGTCAACGGGTCTGTAACATTCAGATCCGTATGTACTTCGCAAATCTCTAGGTCATATTGTAAATGCTGCTTCCACGCTCCACTTGGAGCTATTCCAAATGGTTGCTCCACTATACGTATCCGGTTTGCTACTCAGAGTCATTCGGATAGGTGTTAAAGCTTGCATCGACGTAACCCTTTACGCCGAACTCTTTATCACCTCCATAATCGAGAAATATGTCCTTATTACTCCAAGGACAATTTTGACCGTTGTCCAATGATCCATTCCTGGATGACTCTTGTACCCCTTTGCCAGACACGTGGCAAGGCACACATCAGGTGCGGTACTCAGCATAGCATACTGTAGAGCCTACGTCTAAAGCATAGGGGACAACCTTCGTCCTTTCTCTCTCTTCTGCCGTGGTCGAGCTTTAAGTCTTAACTTCATACCTCACAACTTAGGCAAGAACTCCTTCTTTGACTGATCCATCTTGAACACCTTCAAGATCATGTCAAGGTATGTGCTCATTTGAAAGTACCATTAAGCGTTTTTGATCTATCCTCATAGATCTTGATGCTCAACGTTCAAGCAGCTTAATCCAGGTTTTCCCTTGAAAAACACTTTCAAATAACCCTATATGCTTTCCAGAAATTCTACATCATTTCTGATCAACAATATGTCAACAACATATACTCATCAGAAATTCCATAGTGCTCCCACTCACTTCTTTGGAAATACAGGTTTCTCATAAACTTTGTATAAACCCAAAATCTTTGATCATCTCATCAAAGTGAATATTCTGACTCCGAGATGCTTGCTCTAGTCCAAGGAAGGATCGCTGGAGCTAGCATACCTTTTAGCATCCTTAGGATAAACAAAACCTTTCTGATTGTATCACATACAACCTTTCCTTACGAAAACTGGTAAGGAAACTCGTTTTGACATCCATCTACCAGATTTCATAAGTGCAGCTAATGCTAACATGATTCCGACGGACTGAAGCATCGCTACGAATGAGAAAATCTCATCGTAGTCAACTCCTTGAACTTGTGAAGAACTCTTCGCCACAAGTCGAGCTTCATAGACGGTGACATTACCGTCCACGTCCGTCTTCTTCTTAAAGATCCATTTATCTCAATGGCTTGCCGATCATCGGGCAAGTCCACCAAAGTCCATGCTTTGTTCTGATACAAGGATCCTATCTCGGATTTCATGGCTTCTAACCATTTGTCGGAATATGGGCCCACCATCGCTTCTCCATAGCTCGTAGGTTCATTGTTGTCTAGCAACATGACCTTCAAGACAGGATTATTGTACCACTCTGAAGTAGTACGCATCCTTGTCACCCTACGAGATACGGCAGTGACTTGATCCGAAACTTCATGATCACTATCATGAGCTTCTACTTCAATTGGTGTAGATGCCACAGGAACAACTTCATGTGCCCTACTACACACTAGTTGAAGTGACGGTTCAATAACCTCATCAAGTCTTCGCCATCCTCCCACTCAATTCTTTCGAGAGAAACTTTTCCTCGAGGAAGGACCTAATTCTAGAAACAATCCCTTTTGCTTCCGGAACTGAGACTGGAGGTATACCCAACTATTTTGGGTGTCCTATGAAGATGCATTTATCCGCTTTGGGTTTGAGTTTATCAGCCTGAAACTTTTTCACATAAGCGTCGCAGCCCCAAACTTTCAAGAAACGACAACTTAGGTTTCTCCAAACCATAGTTCAAACGGTGTCGTCTCAACGGAATTCCGTGGTGGCCTATTAAAGTGAGTGCGGTTGTCTCTAATGCCTAACCCATGAACGATTGTGGTAATTCGACAAGAGACATAATGGTACACACCATATCCAATAGGGTGCAACTATGATGTTCGGACACACCATCACACTATGGTGTTCCAGGCGGTATTAATTGTGAAACAATTTCCACAATGTCTTAATTGCGTGCCTAAGTTCGTAACTCAGATACTCATCTCTATGATCATATCATAGACATTTTATCCTCTTGTCACGATGATCTTCAACTTCACTCTGAAATTACTTGAACCATTCAATAATTCAGACTTGCGTTTCATCAAGTAAATATACAGTATCTACTCAAATCAACCGTGAAGTAAGAACACACCGATATCCACTGTGTGCCTCAGCACTCATTGGACTGCACACATCAAAATGTATTACTTCTAGCAAGTTGCTTTCTTGTTCCATTTTACTGAAAACGAGGCTTTCAGTCATCTTGCTCATGTGGTATGATTTGCATGTCTCAAGTGATTCAAAATCAAGTGTGTCTGAATGGTCCATTTGCATGGAGTTTCTTCATGCATATACACCAATAGACATGGTTCGCATGTCTCAAACTTTTCAAAAATGAGTGAGTCCAAAGATCCATCAACATGGAGCTTCTTCATGCGCTTTATACCAATATGACTTACATGGCAGTGCCACAAGTAGGTGGTACTATCATTACTATCTT